TAAAGCATAAACTACTGATACATTTCCTCATCTCCTTCCAGCAACATGTCCATGCAGGTGTATGTATCGGATATAACAGTCAAAACACTTAGTCCTTCAATGCCTCAGTGTAATACAATGCAAGTTCATTCAGATCTATTTCATACTTATTAGTTTTTATTATTAGGCCCTTAATAGAACAGAGGCCAGTGTTGAGTTAAAGGATAAATGAGTACAGCACTAGGTTACAACTTAATACACTACGGAATATTTTGAACAGTAAACTTAGTTGCAACCTAACCCTATATGATCTAAATAATTATAGAACCACACATATATATATATATATATATATAAAAGAGAAAGGAAAACTTGAAATCGCATCATATGACCCCTTTAAAAATTGATGGAAACGGAACAGTTTTTAGTTCCACTGTATAGACAAAAAACTGAGACATTTCTCAAAAAATCTCTTTTTTTTATGTTCCACAGAAACATAAGTACAAATGATGATAGAATTTTCAGTTTTTGTTGCGATGAAACAGAAATAGTGACAAATCCTTGCGTCCCAATTTAAAGCGAGCGTTCACCCAAAAAAAACTGTTCTTCTGTGGAAAACAAAAGAAGATATTTTGAAAAATGTTCAGTGAAAATCAATGGGTCAAACATTGTTTTGGACCCAGTTGAATATGCAGTTTAAAAAACAATAAACAAAAAATAAAAGTCAAGTCACCTTTATTTATATAGCGCTTTATACAATACAGAAGTATTATACAATAGTCAAAATAGCTTTACAGTTTCAAACAGGAAAATAGTTTGTCAATAAAGCAAGAGGACAATAACAAACAGTCAATTTTTCAGTTAACGTCAGTTCATTGAAGATTCAGTGATGTCATCATCCAGTTCAGCTCACTTCCAATAGTGTCTGTGCAATCAAGTCCACAATATTGCCAGAAATTAAGTGTCCCCAACTAAGCAAGCCAAAGGCGACAGTGGCAAGGAACCAAAACTCCATCGGTGACAGAAATGGAGAAAAAAACCTTGGGAGAAACCAGGCTCAGTCGGGGGGCCAGTTCTCCTCTGGCCAGACAAAACCAGCATGGTGTGGTTTAGGAAAGAAAAGGAAAAGAAATTTGGTGAACTGTCCATTTAGGCCAATTAAATAGGCTGGTGCAACCTACCCAATCACCACAATGATTTTTGTGAGAAAGCAAGGGGACCAGTGTTCTAGTTGTCAGGTTGCACATACTCACATATCATTCATCAGTCTGATTCCCATTGGGCAGCGACAGATGTCAGTTGAATGGTTTGCCACATAAACTGTCAAAGCGAATGAGTGTGATTTTGAAGTGAGGGCATGTTAACAAGTTTCATTCAGTGGCATTTATGTTCACACCCTTTGCACCCTCTCTCTCGCTCTCTCTCTTTGTATATGTGTCCTGTTGTTTGAGTTATAGCTCAGAGTACAACAGATGAGTAAACATTGATAGTCACAAGTAAATCCCATCAAATCAGATTGGGGAATGCAAAGGCTACGCTCCCTCCTGCCCTCGCTCTCGATTCCTCTTTTTCTCTCTCTGTTGGCGTTTTTTTCATTCTCTCTTCGTCTACTCACCAAGATTGATTAGAGTTGATAAAGAAAAATCCCATTTAATCAAGTAAATAGTAGATGGAGGAATCGAGCAGCAGCCCCAGAGGCACACGCAGGGCCTTATAGGAATCATATTGAAGGCTCGTACAGGCCTTGGGATAATAATACGGACTATGACATGGCATCTGGCATTAGTGTCGGATAAAACAAGCAGACACGAGGGAGAAGTGCAGAGGAAGCTAACAGGAGAACTAAAGAGATAGACTGCCTGAGGGAAGATGGAGAGAGTGAGAGCCCTATTCAGCAGTGCCACACAGACTTTCTTTTCACACTGGGAGACCTCGACGACGATTGAATTTTTTCTCGGTCCAAGCTGTAATAGAAAATAACCAAGTACTTTTGCGCAATAGCTGTCAGCGACCTTCTGAGAAGAATAGGGCTAATCCTTTACGGTGCTCTCGCAGAACATCTCCATTCAAATCCACTACATTTCATTTCTTGAATACATTTTCTTCCTCTTAAAGATTTTTTTTTTCCTTCCAGTGAAACTGAACCCTGTTTCTGACTGGGCTTGTGTTAAATGTAGACTCGAAATTAAGCTTTCAGCAAAGAAAAAAAAGCATACAGTAGGTCACATTCGTTTTCATGGGCGATAAAATGATGGCCATTGTAATCCTGAGCTAATTAACGTAACAAGTGCACGGGCAGATGACCGTTTTCAAGTATCTGCATTTGTGAATATTTAAGAGTTTGTATGAATAATTCTTTTTTTTAAGGCTCCTCGCTTGTGTTTGTACAGTACAGTTGGAGGGTTCAGACAGAGCTGATGGAAGCCATGAGAGCCTTCAGTCCCTGAGGTCATTTCTCTGATCACTTACATTTCCATTTAAACAGTATTACTCTCACCGAACAGCTTCATCCACGGCTAATGATGGCATGATGCCACATGTTTCAAGACCCCTCTTTCTCTTTCTCGAGTATTCGACAGGGTTGGCTAGAGATTCGATGAGAAGACTGAAAAGCCCTTCATCATCCAGAACACCGGGGGTTTGGGCTTTATCCCAGTGTGTGCTAGATCTCAGATATATCAGTTAACAGGCCCAACCAATCAGTGCTCTCAGCTGGCTAAAGATGCAGCACTCCAGCCATTATGAATTGTACATTGTTCTGGTATTCAGGGTTCGGTACTAGTTAAGCTCAATCCACAGCATTTGTGGCATGATGCTGATTACCACAAAAAATGAATTTCCACTTGTCCCACCTTTTCTTTAAAATACAAATCTGGCTTACAATTAGGGCTGCACGATAAATCGCATGCGATGTTTAACGCGCATCTTATCAGTAAAGCCGGTTCTGTAATCAGCGGTAAATCTCCATCACCTGCGGGCTTTCACATTGAGCAGCATTAACTACATAGAGCCGTTGTTCACTGACGAGCTGCGCCAAACCAAAAAAAAAATGACCCTTATGACTAGTTTTGTGGTCCAGGGTCACATATGTGTGTTAATATAATTTTAGTGTGTGTGGAGGGGGGATGAGTTAATTGAGCTTAACTTGCATTTAACCCAGAACACAGGTTCATCTGCATTCGTTTGCAACGCCTGCATCTCAAAATCCAATCAACATCCAAACCAATGCACAGAACAAAGTGCCCGCCCTGCATTTCAAGTTAAGCTGATAAAACAACTGAACAGAACAGAAACCAAAAAACATTACCATTCGCTCAGAAGCTTAGCCGGTTCCTTTTGTTTGAGGATTGAAGGTGTAAAACTATTGTGCTTTGAGAAGACAACATAGTTATGCTAAAAAAAGAAAACAGGGCAGTTCACAGTGAAACCAAAATCACCAGAGCAGAAAACTATTATGCATTGCTGAGGGCATTCAAATTACAAATGGGGGCTGGATCTGCTGAGTGAGAGTATGGGGGAGATGAGGAATTTCATAGACTTCCTCCTGTAATGCTTAATTACCTCTCTCCTGTACTTGAGGTAATCTTTAATCAGATGAGCACCATGGACTCCAAGGAGGTGTGTGAGTGCCCTGCAACCACCTCTGATAAAATTCACACACAGGTTTGTTTTTCCATCATAGTGTGGAATTCCTATAGACTTCTACTGTTTTTATGCTGAGCTAATGATATTTCTGATTCCCTATCCACTACCTCTAAACCCAACCCTCAACTTTTATACCATTCTCAAGAAAAAATAAACAAATGTATTGAGTCTAAAATGTCATGTGGAATAAGCATCAAGTAAAAAGTAATACAACTTTGTCCTTACATCACAAATATATGGGAGTGTACACAAAAATGTTTTTACATTTATTTTTCAACACAAAAAGTATCTTTAAATATTATATTCATAAATATCATTGAGTCACACCACATGACACTTTACAAACTGAGCTGTCTTGTCATTTAAAGGTCAAATTATCTGGTATTTTAAGAGAATTATTGACCTTGACAATTATGTCCTCTATATGATTTCCTGTTTTATTTTTTCATGCATGTTTTTACATGTCAGTTGCACCACATGACTTCGATTATGCAGACAAATCTATTTCAAATAATAAGCAGTGAAGCGGTTTCTTGAGAAAAAAAAATATCATGACAAATTGCCTTCTTTTTACTTTCAAATCTAGTTCTTTTAATATAGTTTTCTTAATTACAGTATCATTAAAATTGTACCACACTGACATTTATGACTTTGTCATTTCATGCAATCCTTTACATTTTTAGATTTTTTCTTTAAGACACCATTTAATATCAAATGTTTTGGGTCTGTAAGATGTTTTAAAAGTTCTTGAAAGAAGTATCTTATGTAAACAACGACTACATTTATTTGATCCAAAAATACAGTAAAAACACTAATATTGAGAAATATTATTACAATTTAAAATAACCACTTTCTACTTTAAAATATTTTACGATGTAATTTATTCCTATGATTTTAAAGCTGAATTTTCAATAGCCATTAATCCAGTCCTTAGTGTCACATGACCCATCAGAAACATAAAATAAAAATTTCTTATTAATATTAACGATGAAGACAGTTGGGCTACTTTTTTTTGGAAACATTTTTTTACGATTCTTTGATGAATAGAAAGTTAAAAAGAACAGGATTATTTGAAATAGAAATATTTTCTAACAATATAAAAGTCTTTACTGTCAGTACTTTACTATCAGTTTAATTCATCCTTGCTGAATAAAAGTATTAATTTCATTCCAAAAACAAATCTTGTTGAATTTGGAACAGTAGTGTAAACCTCTCACACGCACACAAATTTTCTGCCTGGCAGAAAGGACACTACAGACTACAGGTCAGTGCATTTTGTATTGTAAACAAAGTGTGGTTGTTTAATCTGGGGCAAAGTGAAGTTATACTGATATATAAAGAGAGCAGGACAAAAACCAGAGAGAGAAAATGAAACTAGGACTGTGAGTACAATAGATGAAAAAGATGGAGAGCTGGTATTGTGCTGGAAAATCAACAGAGGAAAGTAAAGTCAGGTAGAGGATGGAAGGGGTGCAATGAGTGAGGGAGGAGAGAAAGAATAAAGATAAGCACACAAGAAAAGAATGCACACAGAACGGAGAAGAGGGGAGGGAAGAGGGAGGGGCTAAGAACATGGCAAGGTTACACATGAAAACTGCAGTCTGTTTTCTTCTTTGACACTCTACTCTACTTCAGAAGTAGAGAGAGGAAGCTTCATTTTTGCTCTTATCTCTGCAATATCACATTAAAACATAAATTAAAAACAGAACGGAAGAACTGAATGCTAAGGAAGCGAGTACATTCATGATACAGAGAGCCAGGAAAGAAGGAAAGACAGACAAAAAGACAGAGAGACTATGAGAACAATAAAATAAACACGGCGGCTACACATTGGCAGAGTTTACAGGACCAGCTTTGACATCAGTAAAGTGAGAGAGGAAGAGGGGTGCAACACTGCTTTACGGAAACCGCTTGACAGTTTCAAACGCTGACACAGTTTGAAAATAGGAAACAGACGGTTAAGAGAAACAGAAAAAAAAGAAAGACAAAAGGATAAAACAAAACCCATTTAAACCAAACCATGTTGATGAAAGAATACCGGATATGCATGCCGCTCACTGTCGATGAGGTAAGTTTGTAACTTTTAACATGTTTGGGAGTGCGTCCATATGTTTGTGTGTACAGCAGCTGTCCCTATGATTAGTGTGTATGAAAGTAAACCTTAAAAAGATTTTTATTCCACTCTGTTTACGCAGATGAAACCTTAATGTAGTTCTGTGTACATGTCTGTGGGTTGTATTACATAATCTCTCCATTTCAGCCGTTTTCTTTACCTAAACGGGTCTGACCAGTTATGTCCTTTCATTTTGAAGGCAGGAGGGAGTTATTCACCTCAAGGCTAGGAACAAAACACAAAGGCCTTTAACCACAAACAGCTTGGGATTTCTACAAGGGGGCCAGGGATTGTTTAGTCTATGTTTTACCTTCGAGTAGCCAACTTGTGCTCGTTCAGATCAGACAAGTCCACACAAGCACACCTGACATAAAGTCTGCCTCAGAATTCGTCTATGGTCTACATCAGCACTACACCGCATAGTTTCCAGACAGGAGCACCACCCCCTTTTTCTGGAGAAGCTCTGTTGTGCGTACAGACAGCATTTTTCTCCAAGCCTCACAAGGTCTCTGTCTGTCGTCATCATCGGTGACAATGATTGTTGGAGTGAGTTTTCACATTAACAGATTGCAAAAGAATTAGTCCTCAGAAAAACAGCGGGAACCTTGTCAGTACTGCCAACACAGTTTTTCAGGAACCCGCTACCTTTGGGTTGCGAGTCCGACTCTCTAACCATTAGGCCACGACTTCCCCATATGCGGGAATAATTATGTATCCAGAACACTTTAGTCTTTAGAGAACAAAACAAAAACAAAACAAAACATATGGCAGATGAGAGATCAAACACTCGATGACAAAGAGTGATGTTTAAGTGGAAGGGTTTGGTATTTATGGGAGTTTTAAACTCATGAACTTCATAATTTTGTTAATAATCCTTTTAAAATATGTAAATTAAATATGTTTTTTAAAATATATATTATATACATTTTTATAATATTTTACATTATGTATATTTTAATATTATACACTAATACTGTATTTCATTTCATGGATCATGGAAGACATTCTCAAAAGCTTCAAAATCATGACATTTTTTATACTGTTAATATTACTTTTTATTTTCAGAAAAAAATTGCCCATAAACATTTTTGCATTTTCATGTTAGCACATATCATAACATACAACAAAATGTTATATTACATTAATAATCAAAGCCTTATAGCAAAACAGCACATATAGAAATTTTATACAATTTCATTTAAATATTTAATTTATAGATGTTATATTTATATGTTACATTTCATGAATCATTATGGAAGAACACAATTTCCTATATATACTATTTGGCTTAATTTGACAGCATTGAAAAATATGTCTATTATATATTATATTTTATACATATAAGGGAATAAATTGTCATAATTAGTCAAAAACAATGATGTAAATATTTATGGTTTGTCTCAAAACTTACACTGGATACATTTCTTTGAATTCTGAGAATTCAACTTCCTGTCATTCCGATTTCAATTCTAATTTAACATTCATATGGCCAATTCAATTCACATTCCAGCTCATGAGCTGAAAGTGAGTCATTTCTTAGAATTTTGCTCAACCCAGCTATAAAGCAAGTCCAAAAAAAAAAAAGATAAATGAAACATATAAGGTCACAAACAGAGGTCAGCAATTTCTTTCTCTCTTCCTAAGTACAAGATCGGCCAGTTATACATGATCAGCAAGCACAGCAGTGAGCAAAGCGGGGGAGGCGAAGGGGTGGAGGTCGTCCGTAATGAACCCTGCACAGACCCCAAACACGGAGCCGGACAGATCACAGAGAAACGCATCTACCTCAACAGGTGAGATCGCACACACACACACACAAACACACACACACATGCACGCATAAGCGATTCTGTTTCTTTCATGGTTTACATCACCCACCTGCCAACGTGCCAGCGATCAGCTATTATTGATGACTGCGGCTAAAACCTTTACGCATGCAGCAGAGCTCCGTCCATCGCTCACTTTCCCTCCAAAAACACCTTGTCTCTTCCTGTCGGACTTCAAGCAGAATTACACATCAACAGAAGATCATGTACACATTCAGTCTGATATCATCCCACGCCGTGAACATGCACACACACTTATAGTAATTGCCTGTTTTCTTGTGTTCTTTACACTCTCGCCCTACAAGGACAAAACACACACACACACACTGTCATTAGATGCTGTCGTGAATATGAATTACTGCACGTCTAGCAGTAAAAAAAAATTTCAAGCCATTAACGTGTTAGCAAAGACCAAAAGGGCAGAGCATTAGTTCCTTATGGTCAAATAAATCTTATCGTGGAGCATGTGAGTCTAATTCAAATGCTGATATTACCGCAGACGAGATCATTATATGCTGTTTACAAGTACATCACGCTGAACTGCTGCATTGTAATTATGAATAATTTAACTTGTATTGTCAAGATACAAGCGTCCAAGGATTGTAATGTAATGGCAGATAATTGGTGGGAATGTGCTGTTCCGTGGGACACACTGTGGAAATGTCTGTCACTTCAGGAATGGGAAAGAGAGAGTGTGAGAACGCGTGGCGCTCGACACAACTGGCTGACCGTGAATGATCTACTTCTTCTCTTCTCCACCCCTCTCTTCTCATCCTCTGTCCATCCATCCATCACTCAAGTCCTCAGGCTGTAAATCTCAAGCGCTGTCTGTGCTGCCTTATCTTACAGTGCTGAGTTCATTATCTCTCTCGCTCTCGCTCTCTCTGTAGTGGGGTTTCTTGGACTCTGACTGTGTTTTTGTAAGGGACAGATGGCACCAGACACCTCTGGAAGTGAGCGTTATAGCTATTGTGATGGCGGTTTGACATCCTAACCCAAAACACAAGCACATATGCACCTCTTCAGTAGCCCAAAAAAGTATCTGGACACTTTGGACAAACTTTAAATGACTGGCATTACACAAGATACAAAATATCAAAACAAACAGCAACTGCAAACAAATAATGCAAGACATTTTCTCAGAGCGTTTTTTCAACTTGTTAACCGCTGAACAATATATACCACAATTCTTTTTTTTTTAAAGACGTCTCTTACACTCAACAAGGCATTCATTTGATTAATATACAGTAAAAACAGTAATATTGCAAAATTTTAATCCATTTTAATATATTTTAAAATGTAATTAATTCCTGTGATGGTAAAGCTGATTTTTCAGCAGTCATTATTCCAGTATTCAGTGTCACATGATCCTTTAGAAATCATTCTAATATGCTGATTTGGTGCTTGAGAAACATTTCTTATTATTATCAATGTTGAAATAAATTTTAAAAAATAGAATTTTTTTTTCACGATTCTCTGATAAATGGAAAGAACATTATGTAACATTTGATAACTTTTGATTGATTTTATGCCTTCTTGCTGAATAAAAGTATTAATTTCTTCACAAAGAAATCTTACTGACCCCAAACTTTGGAGTGATATTGTATATATTGTTTTGTCATTTAAAATCTAAAAGTTTGTCCTGTCACTGTCATATAGCAATATACAGTTGTGGTCAAAATTGTACATACACTTTGCAGTATCTGCAAAATGTTCATTATTTTAGCAAAATAAGAGGGATCATTCAAAAATGTATGTTATTTTTTATTTAGTACTGACCTGAATAAGATATTTCACATAAAAGACGTTTACATATAGTCCACAAGAGAAAACACAAGAGTTGAATTTATAAAAATTACCCCTTTCAAAAGTTTACATATGTTATGATTGATACTTATTACTGTGTATACTGTAATACTTGTTACCAGGATGATCCGTTTTTTTTTTGTTTTTTGTTTTGTTTTGTGATAGTTGTTCATGAGTCATTTGTTTGTCCTGAACTGTTAAACTGCCCACTGTTCTTCAGAAAAAATCCTTCAGGTCTCACAAATTCTTTGGTTTTCCAGCATTTTTTTGGGCGTATTTGAACCCTTTCCAACAATGAATATATGACTTTGAGATCCATCAGGACAACTGAGGGAATCATATGCAACTATTACAAAAGGTTCAAATGCTCACTGATGCTCCAGAAGGAAACATGATGCATTAAGAGCCAGGGGTGAAAACTTTTGAACAGAATAAAGATGTGTACATTTTTCATATTTTTCCTAAATATCATATTTTTTCATTTAGTACTTCCCTTCAGAAACTACAGAAGATACTTACATGTTTCCCAGAAGACAAAATAAATTCAATTTACCCTGATCAATTTACTCTTAGTGACGTGAAGCCAAATATGGTGTCCCATACTCGTAATTTGTGCTCAGCATTTCACCCATCCAAGTGCACACACACAGCAGTGAGTAGTGAGCACATACACACACCATGAACACACACCCGGAGCAAAGGGCAGCCATTTTCTGCTGCGGCGCCCGGGGAGCAGTTGGGGGTTTGGTGCCTTGCTCAAGGGTCTCACCTCAGTGGAAGAGAGCGCTGTACATTCACTCCTCCCACCTACAATCCCTGCCGGTACCGAGACTCAAACCTGCAACCTTTGGGTTAGAAGTAAGACTCTAACCATTAGGCCACGACTGCTCCCTACAATGCATCGTGTTTCCTTCTGGGGCATCAGTGAGCATTTTTACCACAACTGCATATTATTTATAATTTTAGTATGTTCATGTTTTAACACTTTACATCAAGGTTTAATTTGTTGAAATTAGTTAATACATTAGGTATCAATATTTTACAGCATTTCTTAATCTAGGTTTATGTTAACTTTTAAATATACAATTATACACTGTTAATTAATATTTCTTCATAATACACTAATGTTAATTCATACAACTTGAAATGCTGAAAATTTATATTAGAAATTAACATCAATCAAGATAATGTAGTAATTAACATTAATCTAGATTAATAAATGCTGTAAAAGTATAGTTCATTGTTAGTTCATGATACCAGTTGTAGAGTAAATCATGAACTAATGGTAATAAAATGAACATTATTTATAACACACATCTTTAAGTATAACAGAAGTGTCCAAATACACTGTGCATAGAGAAATGTGACCCTGGACCCCAAAACCAGTCATAAGGGTCAATTTTTCGAAAATTAAAAAAAATTTTAGAATATTGAAAAAAATCTAAATATTGAGAAAATCGCCTTTAAAGTTGTCCAAATTAAGTTCTTAGCAATGCATATTACTAATCAAAAATTAAGTTTTAATATATTTACAGTAGGAAATTTACAAAATATCTTCATGGAACATGACCTTTACTTAATATCCTAATGATTTTTGGCATAAAAGAAAAATCAATAATTTTGACCCATACAATGTATTTTGGGCTATTGCTACAAATATACCCCAGCGACTTAAGACTGGTTTTGTGGTCCAGGGTCACAAATATAAAACGCTCCACTAGGCTTTTAAACTACTAAGAATTTTTTTGTCCACCAACTTCACCAGAAAGATTTCGATGGATGATAAATTTGAACAGTTTTCCTTGTGATCACAAGCTAAGTTCAACTGTTAAACTGCATGGTGCATTACTGCATTATGCTAGCTAAATTAGCACTAACTAGCATATACCCACATGGAAATTCATGCTGGATTAAGCCCAGGCTGTTTATGTCTTTGTTTAATATGTCTCTTGTGTCATAGCATGTTCTCATGTTTCCCTTTTTGTCTCTGTTCAGCAAACTGCCAACCTGGATAAGAAAGTTTGTTCCCATGGCTTTTTATATCACAGAAACTGCCTGGAACTTCTACCCTTACACCATAACAGGTCAGTTTAAGCATTACGTTATAATAAATACAACAGTGTTTGAATATTAACGTACCATCACATGGCACATCCATCTTGTCTGTTCAATGCACCAGTAACCAGCTGTGACCTAACACCATATTTCTCTTCTGCATTCCTCTCTCCTTCTCCGTCCACTGGTGTTTTGCTATAGAGTACACGGTAAGTATTCTCACATGTCAGCTCAAACTCATGCAGTTTGCTCTGGGCTCACTGGCCCACTGAGCATACAACATAATCACTTCACTCTCTCTCATATCTTTACTCCTTCCAAAAGTGTTCCTTCCTACCGAGGTTCCATGTCAAGATTGAGACGAGCTTTGAGAATGACAACGGTTGCAGTGAAAATGTGAGTGAGAGATGGCAACACACATACATACACACACACACACTCGCACACAGTGTGTGTTCTTACAGGAGATAATCCTCTTAAAGGAGGATGATTCATCAGCAGCACATCTAGCTCCCGTGTCCTTGTAAACAGCCATTGTGCTTGTGTCTGTCTCTGAAGCACTCAGTAGTAACAGTCAGGCAAGATCCAAACACTCCACCTTCCTCCTGTGACATACGACACCAATGCTTTTAAAGCAGGGCCTCAAACTACTGGTATAGGTCATTTTGTTCAGACGTGTAGTAAAACTAGGTCTCTTGTATTTAAAGGGGTCATATGATGTTGCTAAAAATAACATTATTTTGTGTGATTGGCCGAATTCCTCAAGCGTGTGACGGAAATGTTACGTCCCTTAAGCGTCCGGAGGGCTTGCGGCAACTACATGTGACGACCCCAGGCTGGACTCCACTTCGTCCACGGTGAAAGCCAATCCGGCGATCAAAAGCACGAAGTTGATGTATTTCCTCAGCGACCAGCACGGATCAGCTCCAGGCATGACGAAGCGATATCGTCCTCTTTTGGAAGGCCAAAGAAAGTAGTTTCACTTTCACAACGAAGCACACAGCGCCTTCACGACGTGGCTGCGGCGGCAATAACAATACTACAGCGAGAATAAAAGTTATGCCTTCTTTCTTCGCGTGAACATTTAGACATGTGGGGGCGTGTTAGAACGAGCTGTTTTAGGTAGGCGTGGTTGACTCTTAACTTTTATAAAGAATATCTCTTTAGATTTGAGACTTTAGTCTTTGCAACTTTACAGATCTTCTTTATGCACCAAGAGCTTGTAACACTTCAAAGAAACATTGAAATCACATCATATGACCCCTTTAAATCAACAGAGCAGTTTAAACCAGAACTCACTGTGATGTGCCTTCAGTTAATGAATACCACATTTTTATTTTTGGTGCTCAGCGCAGCTACACTACCATTCAGTAGATTGGGGACAGAACTTCAATATTAGAAATACAGTTAGATATTAGAGTAGACAAGTTAATTTCTCAATTTTATACATTTAGATTACATTTTTACACACAACTGTCCTTCAGGTAATGAGATACTCCTGCTTTAAAGTGAACAAACAGACAATTTATTTAGCTGTGTTGTCATTCAGAGTTTATACTTCGTACTTATTGTGATGAGTTGAGTTATTACTGGTTTGCGGTGTGTGTGTTTGCATGCAGTGAAAGAAAGAGAGAGAGGCAGTTCTCTGTTATTAAGAAATGAAAAATACGACTTAAACAAGATCCAACTTGCCACAAAGCGGCTCAAAGATTTACGAGCAAGTCTGCCTGTGAAAAAGAAAGTGAGAGGGAGATGGCGGGAGAGTTTTGTTATTGATACTTTGTAATTGATACAATTTCCAGCTGACCCAACTTTCTCTCCACATACAACAGCAGACACACCCTCATTCACATACACACGTTACACTTAAATGTATACTACATTCTAAGTAAAAGAAAATAAAAAAAACAGGTACAAAACTGTCACTGGGGCGGTACCCTTTCAAAAGTTACTAACATGTACCTTTAAGGTACTAATATGCACGTTTTAGGGGAAAATATATACCGTACAGTAGGGCTGAACGATTAATTGCATTTGCGATAATATCGCGATATGAAATAACGCGATTTTTCCATCGCAGAGGCTGCGATTACACGGTCACGTGACACGCGAGTCTGCCTATAGTAGGCTTGATTTTGCACTCTTTGTTTCCATGTTTTTTGCATTAATTCTCTCTGCCTACGCCCTACGGTCTTGTGTTATGTAGTGTGTCAAGGTTCTGTAATGGGCTACAGAATGTTTAACCGGTTGCATTGTGTGGTATTTTATATAAAGATCGCTCAGAGCACTGAAACAACTTCCCATTGTCTTCAATCAGATGCGGAAGTTGGTGCATTTGTATTCTTCTGTGTTAACAAAACTTTAAGTTGCAGTGTCATTTTTCACTTGGACATTAGGGACTAGCTGGAATAAGAAAGCAGCATGTTCTTTGGTATATTGTTGGATTTGTCTGACCATGCTGTCTGATGTCTCCTGTGCAGGTGTTTGGTGATGACCCCACTCCTAAGGACAGTGTCTGCTTTTTGGATATTTTGAATGATCCAATCCCTGACAAGCATTATAAGAAGGCAGAGGTACATACATATTCATATAAGTATAAATACATGGCAAAATAAAATCTGGGTTGGGTAAAATTCAGAATTTAAGAGTGTGCTCATTTTAATTTCATGAGTTGGAATGTGAATTGAATTGGCCACATGGCACAGGACGCTAAATTGGGATTTGAATTGGAATGGCAGGAAGAGGAATGTATGTAACAGCATCTACATTAGAGGAATTTCGTTAGTCCAACACAAGTTTCGTCAAAACATAAATAAATGATTAATTTTGACTAATTATGCCTATTTATCTCCCTGTATAGGCTACATTTTTTTCTCAGCTCATTAGACTAAACAGAGTCTAAACTGAGCGCTGTCACATTAAAACGAACATTAAAACATGTTTTATTTTGACATACAGCAGGGGTTTTGCATCAAACTTTTTGATGCAAAGGACCCTCTAAATATAATGATCCCCTTGAGAGAGACTCCCTTCCTAAAATATAAAGCAATTATATAAGTAAAAGACCAAATTTTATTTTTGAGATAAACATTAAAGACATCATGTTGTTTTATCTAAATTATTTAACAGGCTTTATATTGGTAGTGTATTAAAATCAACAGAAAAGTAGTTGTGATTTATCTGATTTACTTAGAAATAAAAGGCAGAATCAAACAGTAAAAAAAATTAAATCTTTCCACACTGGGTTTGTTTTGGTTTTGTTTAAAAATCCCTACTACAATTTTTTTTCAGTCACATTGTTTTCAGAAAACAATTTATGTAAGTAGCATTTCAAACACTGATTGTTAATATAATTTAATGTTTTAAATTATTTATAATAAATTTAAAATTATTATAAATGAAATGTATTATTAAAAACAACACTTACTGCAGATATAATTGCTTGTACTTCCTTAAATTTAAAATACAAATCTGTACTATGATCATCGATCAAGATTTGAATTGGAATTAAATTCCCAGTTCAGATCAGAATGGTGAACAAATTTGACTCACAAATAAGCATCAAGTGTACTGTGTTCTCCTGGTCTTTATGCCCTTACAGCAGTGCAAATGTCTTCAAAGCTAGCATTTAAATGACACAACAGAGATATGAGTCTGTGCACACAAGTACAGAAGCAAAAACCTCAAGACAAGCATTGCATAAAAACCACATTCCTCAGTGTGCTCTACTTAGAGATACAGTTCGTTTGAATCTGCTGCTTTTACAGTGGACAAACAATACACCAGAGGAAAGCATGTTTCCATGTTACACTCTCAGATTCAGTCATGCGCAGCCTCAGATCCATTGCTGTCATATGCCGAGTTAGGAAAAAGTCAAATCCAAAGGATTAAAGTTTTCAATGAGAAAAACAGCTGAGATAAACCAAGTAGGGATGGGTGAATCAATGTTCCAATATTATATTATATTATATTATATTATATTATTACAAGTTGTTAAAAGACTAAATCAATGCTAAATATGTAAAAGTAGGAGCTAGCTAGTTTATGACCAAAAGCTGGTTTGTAGTTTCTAAATGTTTACTTCCTATTAATTAAAAAAAAAAAAAAAAAAAACTTTGACAATTGTTACAATATAACAGTTAAATGGTTGAGCTTGATAAATGAAGTCAACATTACAATTTGCATAAATATTGAGAAAAAAATCTAATTATTCACTTGTCAAGCTTTAAAAGATTCCAAATTATGTTATTTCTTATGTCACAATTTTAAGGAAATTTTACACTTTGTAACAGGAGAAAATCATGCATGCACCAACAGGGACACATCTAAATATTACATTTCTCCTCATTAAAATTAGTTAATTATTCATAACAGCTTGTATGACAGTTAACTGAATATCAATTCCACAGATCATGTACTAAAAGATTTTCATTGTAAAAAAGCAGACAGTCCACAAAACCACTCATTTAAAACAGTTCTGATACCAAAATATAATACTACCTACTATTCATGCTAGGTTCATTTAGGTTAATTTTAGATAATAGTTAATCAAACATATCTAAAAGGTCTCACAACCAAAAGCATAAGATTTGTGCCTCTAACGCTTTAAAAATGGGACACCACATGATCCACTGTGAAATGTATGTCCACCCTGCACAGTAATTCATGCGCAGCATGAAACACACACACACACACACACACACAAGAACAAGCAATGATCTGCTCACTCAGCAGGTAATGTGTATGTACTTAAAACAAACAGGATCTGAGCAACTGGGTGTCACAGAAAACAGGCCGGGGACCCCTAGTGGATGGCTGGAGGAACACCACTAAACCCATCATGTGCTCCTACAAGAGAGTCACCTGTAGCTTTGAGGTCTACGGCTTCCAGGGACGAACAGAGGACTTCATTCACAGGGTACTGACCATAACATCCCATGCATTACATCATGCTGTTTAGTCATGTAATCCCATCATGTGTCATATTATGGCATGTTATGATTCATCATAGAACATTCGTGACATTCTGTTGGTGGGACACAGACAGGCAGTGGCATGGATTGACGAGTGGCTCAAATTAGAAAACATTATTATAAGCTAACCGTTGTGAATCGGGCAAAAAGTAAGGCGATAGTTTTGAACACTGGCTGGTCATGTACTTGCTCAAATATTGATTTCGGATCATTTTTAACCATAAAAAGTTACGGACTTCCTGATCCCTTGTTTGGTACTCGACATGTACGTCATCTATCTTCATTCTTCGCAAATACACAGTAAATGCATAACAAATATTTGTGCATGCAGGAATGACACTCGAGCAGGTGAGAGAGTACGAGAGAAAACAGCAGGAGGACACCAACAGCAAACTTAAGAGTGACATTACCTGCACAGGTATGCTGAAATTATATTACCAGCAGTGAACATTCTGAATTGACTTATTCATGATTTAACATCATATCAGCAGCAATGGCTATTCATGGCAAAATCAACAGTATGATTATAATATCAATACACTGTCTACATACACAGAGTCAACATACAAAAATATACATATATCTTTAAATTAACAATAATAACTATAGTAATAATAGCAATTCTGTAGAATTTTTCAATTTAATGTATGATAAACATTCTAAAAAATATTCCTGGAGAAACCTTTTTAAAAATGTCCATTAATATATTTTTAAATAATGCAGTCTATTAAAATACCCTTTTCAGCAATATGAATGAGTGAGTCTTGAGAGAACAATAATGCACCGAACATTCTGAAAAAAAAAATATATATATATATATATATATCAATCATTATCACAAATTTGGTTGTTTCATTAATGGTCTAGAAATAGTGCAGAACCATAAATATTTTTAATTCATTTTCATTATAACATTTCCAGATTCAAATTTGAGTGTGAACAGATTTTAGCTTCCTTTACCTTCCTGTAGCTTAAACAATAGTGTGGCACTAGCAACGCCAAGGTCATGGGTTCGATTTCCAAGAAAAAAAGAGCAATTGGTCAAAATGTACCGCCTGAATACACACTTTGGATAAAAGCATCTGCCAAATGAATAAATGATAATGTAATGTAGATTTTACAATGTGAACACACTGTCCTCTCTCAGTGTCCACACTGCCCTCTGTTGGTGAACGTTTTATACTGCATCACAACTGTTACAGTTTAGTCAGCAGATGCAATTTCATTATTAATATGGAAGTCATCATGACTCATCTAACAACACTTTTGCAACATGTTAGGCTAAATCAGAAGCACTTGTGACAAAAACTGATTTTCTTCTCTGCTTCCCAGACTCTGCTCCTACAATGCGACCAAGCTTCACTCGCTCCATCTCTGTTACGGATGAATCGTCACTGAAAAAGATGGGGGTAAAGACTGTAGACATTCCAGGCTCTCCGTCCTGCCCTTCCTCCCTCAAAAGTCCCATGAGATTAAACTCTACCCCGGAATAACACCCATCCTCCATCCTCACACCGCATCGACCACTGCCAGTACCAACATTTAGCAAAATTCTGGACTTGGACATTCTCTTCTAATCAAAACTAAAAAGACATTCAACATTGTCCCTCTCTTGCTCAACATTCCAACTGGACATGCTTGTGTTCCATACAGAGGCTGGCATTTGACAAAAACACCTTACTGAAGAATTGTAAATATTATGTAAAAGACTCTGGCTTCTAATGAAGTGAAACCATTGTGCCTTAGTTAAATATTACATAATAAATATTTGAAATATTACAATTTTCTTTTTTAAAATGTAATTAGTCCTGTGATGGCAAAGCTGAATTTTCAGCAGCCATTACTCCAGCCTTCAGTGTCACATGATCCTTCAGAAATCAATATGTTGGTCCTCAACAAACATTTCTTACTATAAACAATAGTGAAAACAGTTGAGCTGCTTAATATTTTTGTGGAAACCTTGATACATTTTTTCAGGATTCTTTTATGTAGAACATTCTTTTAAATAGAAATTCCAAACGTACAGCATTTCTTTGAAATCTTTTGTAAAATTATGAATGTGTTTACTGTCACTTTTGATCAATGCAAATGTTACTGACCCCAAACTTTTAAACTATATATATTCACTTTTTACAAAAATGATAATCAATTTATTGGTATTAGCCAGTTTTAATAACACTGCATCCATAGGGTATAAGTATACTTATAGCAAGTATACTTGCTAATAATTCTTCACTTTGTGAAGAGCAAAAAACAAGCATCAATAAAAAGTGACTTCGTAAACAAAAGTCTGAGCGTAGGCATTCTAGGAACTGCATTTTTGATGTCATATTCCCCTTTTCTTATCACATATAATTGCAAAGATCCTTGCTGCTTCCTCCTGTGGCTATTACTATATTCATTCATTCCTAGCATTTTATTTCCTTATTTTTATCTTTCTCACGAAGGGATGTGGAAGACAAAGATTGAATCCATGTTTCCTGAAGTCTTCTAGCAGCGCTCAAATGACTCCAGGTTGTTCTGTTACAGCTCTGGCTCTCTTTCTTTCAATTTCTCACTATCTTCAGCATTCTCTCTTCCTTTCCCTTGCTGCCCCTCCTTCACATCCCAGTTTCGCTCTCTCTCTCTCTCAGGAGAACATTTCTGATGTATACATTTCATTAGAAAAAAGCTACAGCAGTACCACTAGTGCAGGCAGAGTAAAAGATCAGCTCTCTCTATCAGAAAAGAATACACAGCATAATTAAATAAAATGCCTTAATGTACCTAGACCATTTTAATTTCACTTAAACGTTAGCCCCCAATCCTCATCCACTTTCATTACTTTTAAAAGAGTGGCTAGTATATTCATCAAAAATTCACCTTTTATATTCCATGAATCTGGGTGAAAGATGAGGTTTTCAAGCATTAAAAAAAGTTTATTACACTTTAAATTTTGGTTTTCCACATTAGAATGTGTCCTGGGTAATTTAATTTTTTTCTAAGCAAAAAAATAATGGCTTTCATATATTTTTACCATGATTTACAGAAGACATCCACTAAAATGGCATTCAGTGAAACAATTTGAAACAATTTTATAATGTAACAAGATTATATCCCAAAAATTTTGTAGGGCATATTTAGAACAAGAATCATTTGATGACATATTAAAAGATTATTCTATTTTATTCTATTTTAATGATCACAGTGTGCACCAAAATACTAATTAATTAATATTTTAAATCTTTATACTTTGCCACTATCTCTTTGCCACTATGTCTGCGAGAAGGTCTTATAGGAAGTGGAAAGGAAGTGAAAATCTTTCAAAATATAGTAAAAATTAGTATAATCACTATACAAAATTGTTCAATATTTTAATAATATAAAAATAAATCTGTTACACTGAATGACGATGGTTTGTTTCGCTCAATGACATTTTGCCAAAAAGGGAGAAAATACTGGTGTTGAAATGTTTTTAGTATTAGTATATAACATTAAATTAGTTTTAATAATATTCCTGAGTAAATGAAAGCAGGAGCAGATGTTGAAAAATAATAAGCACGCTTACGGTAGCTTGGTAGACTCTCTTTTCAGAAACAGTGGTAAGCTATTATTCTGATTATTAAGATACTATTTTCTAGTTACTGGCTTTGCATTTACTTTTTGCAGTGCCTAGAAACTAAATCTAAAATAAATCAGTAACCAACAAAAAAATGCATTAAATTATTATACATTCCTCATTTATCAAATTGCTATCTATACAGTGATACTGTAATATAATGGATGACAGAGTAACAGAGAATTTGCATTACACCGTATGACAAAAAATTTACTTCGAATGACGAAATCTCTACTTCAGCATATATTGCAGGCTATCAATCTAATCAAACAGTGAGCTTGACCAGTAAAGTTAATCACAGTTATTCACAACATCTACATATTTTTCAAAATAAATCTAACAATAAGTATTTTTGGGCATTTCACCGAATTACATGTGGTTTTGCAACTTGCCACACAATGAAAAGGTGAAATAATATATTTAAGCATAAGCATATCTAGCTGTAGATCATCAAAATGGGTTCATTATGGGTTCATTAATGTAATTAATATCTGACCACCTATATTATCCCAACGTGATAAACTGCAACCATTAAATGTCAACAGACAATACATATTTAACACTAGACATACCTGAGTGACAACAAACATCAAAGTTTCACACAGAAATCACTGTAAACTGCAAACTGGATCTCACAACAGAGCAGATGTGCTCGTTTGAAGACAGAAGACTGACCCAAGCCCTGCGAACTAACCCTCATATCAATGCCTTTTTCGTCTGTCTCTAATCATTATTATCACAATAAAGTATAAGTGGGTTAAAAAGATCTCAAGGGTAATTTATGAGCAGTAATTATATTGCAGAAGCCACCTCCAGCCGACACACGGGCACATGCACAAGCATCCCCTCCTGCAAGCAAATGTAGAGAGTTACGCATGCACGCACATACTCCCCCAAGTGGGTGGTAATGTTTGGGAGGCATTCATTGAAATTCAGGCCCTAAACATAGCAATCAGCACAACCATAAAGGACCCAAATTTTATTGGCCCACCCAGCCCATTAATTACATAGCCAGAACTGCATGCAACACAGCATATGTTCCCTAATAAAGCCCAATTGATCTTAATAGAGATGTATTATTGATTCACAAAGGTGGAATTAAACTTTTCCATATAAGCAGAGAACCCAAAAGCGCACACTGAGATAACTACATATTCACACATATAAACATAAGCTTACACTCATATACACTTGCATGTTGTCATGGACACAAACACGGGTAGAAAATTGTTAGTAGGCCTATGGTCATTATATGGGCATTATGTGGATGCACACACACAAACAAACACACAGGACGTGACATACAAGGTTCAAAATATGTCATTACATAATGAGACATCACCAACAAGCAGCCCAAAAGCCTCTCCACACTAAACATGACCGTAATGTTTAAAGTAATGAGATCCTATCCAGAAAACCAGGAAATCACCATTTTCATCCACACCAGCATTTGGCTTTTAATAAAGCACATAGGCAACTCTGCCTATAACTCCTTTTTTCATCCATATGTCTTCTTTTTCCTCATTCCTTTTTTACTGTTTCATTCATTATAATTTTCCTTTTTGTGTATGTGTGTATACATACATATATATATTTATTTATATCTTCAGGTTTCCTGAAGAATCACAACAATAAAATGATAAAAAGCCAGAAGTCCATGACAGTATGTCTGTATACCATATATACATATAATTTTCCTGCAGAAGCAAAACAATAAAATGACAAAAAGCCATAAGTTTATGTACACATAAACACACACATAGCTATCTAAATAGGGACATTGCATAGCCTTCTATTGTTTTTAATGTACAACTAATACAACTACATACTATAACCTAACCCTAACAGAAACTTTCTGCATTTTTACAATTAATTAATTAATTAATGTTATCTACTTTATTTTATACCACTGTTACAAATGTGGATTTCCCCAAAATGTGAGTTTCTGATGGATGGATTTAGCTCACTTCTGGATACAACTTGATCAAAATGATCAAGTAGGTACACACACACAGGCACAAGCCTGTCATTTATTTACATATTTAACAAAGGGTCATTGCACACTTGAGGAGTATAAATAAACAAATGATGCAATCATTACATCATCAGAGCTGTAAACCCCCACCCACTTCTCAATTTAGAAGAGCGAGCTGTAGTTAAATTACTGCACCAGTTTTCATGATGTAGCCTACCTACCTGCCTGCCTTAGGAGTGCAATCGAATCCTTCGTCTTACTCCATCAACAGGAAATCTCTGCGTGATTTGAGAGGTTTGACTATAATCAATATCAGTTGTTCATAGATTTATAATTAAAAGCGCTGTAAGCCATTAGCAGTTTTGGAACTTCAGCCAAAACATAGACGCTGAATTAGACACGCCCACTGTTGAAAAAAAAAACGCCCTTAAAGGTGTCATATGATGCTGCTAAAAAGGATCTTCTTTATGCACCAAGAGCTTGTAACACTTCAAAGAGAAAGGAAACATTGAAATCGCATCATATCAACAGGTGATATGTTAAGTGCCATTCCATAAAAATTGCTTACAGCAGCTTAAAGGTAATTATAGAATGAATTATTCAATAATTAGTCCATAGTTCATTAACTCAGTTAACTGAATTAATTACGATGGGAAAAAAATCCCATTTTCCAAAAATACAAAATATGGAACACACTTTATGGAAATACTGAGTAAACCCGGTTGCAAATTTAAACTGGTAATGCATTGCTGTTCGTATAATCTTGAAACACCTCCCATAGGAAACAAAGGGCCCTGAAGCGCTTTTCCAATGTACAGATTCTCAGATAAGTCAGGACCCTCGTGGACAAAACAGAAAGGCTGACCTTCAGTAGATGGGGGAGATGGTTGACTGTGCGCTCATGAATATTTATTAGCCGGGAGGGGTGATCTCCCCGCAGACTTAATTCTGCAGCTCATATCAAAAATTTTCATTACAGTGAAACTAAAAATTACTAGACAACAAAAAAAAACAGACACAGCAAAAATGGAGAACATGGGCGAGGGGGGGAATAGAAACTATTTGAAAAACAGACAGAAAAGACAAAGAGAGTGGCAGAGTTGCATCAGTGATGTAGTGTGATAGGGCTCTTGACCCTACTCTCAGATTCTCTTGTTTAATTGAGGTTGTA